TTCTTCTTTTTGGAATGCTTCAAGAGGGATGACTTTAGCTCTTTAAATGTTTGGTAGAATTTGGCTGTGAAGCTGTCTGGATCTGGAGTTTTGCTTTGAGGGAGTGTTTTTTGATTACTGGTTTGACTTAGTCTGTTCAGATTTTCTGTTTCTTCCTGGGTCAGTCTTGGAACATTGTATTTTTCTAGGAAATCATCCATTTCTTCTAGGTTGTCCAATTTATTGACATATAATTTTTCATAGTATTCTCTAATAATTCTTTGTATTTGTGTGGTATCCATTATAATTATTCCTTCTTTGATTCTGCTTATGTTTATGTGTGTGTGTGCCCTTTTTTTCTTGTTAAGTCTGGCTAGGGTTTATTATTTTGTTTATTAAAGAACCAGCTCCTGGTTTCATTTTCTATTGTTTCTATTGTTTTTATTCTTTTGTTTCTGCCCAAAGCAATTTGTTTTTATTCTATTGTTTTTATTATTTCTATTGTTTTATTCTTCTGTATTTTTATTCTCTATTCTTCTCTGATCTTTATTATGTCCCTCCTTCTACTGACATTGGATTTCACTTGGTCTTCTTTTTTTAGTTTCTTTAATTGTGATTTTAGACTATTTGAGATTGTTCTTGTTTCTTGGGGTAAGCCTATATTGCTGTACACTTTCCTCTTAGAACTGCCTTTGCTGTTTCCCACAGATTTTGGGGTATTGTGTTTTTGTTTTCATTTGTCTCCATGTGTTGCTTAATTTCTGTTTTAATTTGGTCATTGATCCATTGATTATTAAAAGCATGTTGTTTAACCTCCACATGTTTGCAAGTCTTTTTATTTTCTCAGTGTAATTTATTTCTAGTTTCATACCATTGTGGTCTGAGAAGCTGCTTGATACAATTTCAGTCTTTTTGAATTTATTAAGGCTCTTGTTATGACCTAATATGTGATCTATTCTGGAGAACATTCCATGTACACTTGAGAAGAATGTGTTTCCTGATGCTTTTGGGTGGAGTGGTTCATAGATAACTATTTGTTCTGATGTATTGTTAGTGCCTCTGTTCCCTTATTTATTTTCTGTCTGATCGATCTGTCTGTTGATTGAGTGTTGTGTTAAAGTCTCCTAAAATGAATGCATTGCAGTCTGTTTCCTCCTTTAAGTCTGTTAGTATTTGTTTTACATATTCAGGTACTCCTTTGTTGGGTACATTGATATTAATAATGGTTATATTCTTTTGATGGACTGATCCCTTTATTATTATGTAATGTCCTTGTCTCTTGTTACTTTCTTTGTTTTGAAATCAATTCTGTATGATATAAGTACTGCTACTCATGCATTTTTCTCCCTATTGTTTGCATGGAATATCTTTTTCCTTCCTTTGACTTTTAGTCTTACTATATCTTTAGGTTTGAAGTAAGTCTCCTGTAGACTGAATATAGATGGATCTTGTTTCCTTATCCATTCTACCACTCTGTGTCTTTTGATTGGTGCATTTGGTCCATTTACATTTAAGGTGATTATTGATAGATAGTATTGCCATTTTATTAATTGTTTTCTGCTATTGTTTATATCTCCTCTCTTCCTTTTTTCCTCTCTTATATTCTTTTCTTGTTATTGATGGTTTTCTTGAGTGTTGTAATTGGATTTCTCTTTCTTTTTAAAATTTATTTTTTTGTGTATTTATTGTGGGGTTTAGTTTTGTGGTTATCAAAGGTTCAGGGATGGCTTCTTTACTATATAATAGTCCATCTTAAATTGTTGATTACTCCATTTCAAGCACAATCTAATGGTTCTTTTTTTCCTTCTTCTTCCTCCTCTACATTTTTCATATTAGATGTTATAATCTGCCTCTTTTATGTGTTTTTGGAGGGAGGTTTCCATTTTCTTACATCCTTCAAGCCAATTATATAGTTCTGGAAGCTGGAAATCCTGGATCCCAGACCAAGGTATCTGCAGCCTTGGTCTCTCCTTGGCTTGAAAACAGCTGCTTTCTTACTATGTCCTCATAAGGTGTTTTCTGTTGAAGCATGCTGATTTTTTTTCAAAAGGAAATTTGCTTAGAAAGAACATAAAGAAAACTAAGAAAATAAAAGAAGCAAAAGAATCAAGGTTACAAGATGCAGGCTTTTGATCCTTTGATCCTGTTAGGATATATACCTTGTTCTGTTCATATCCTATTTCCTACAGGTTGAGTTCCTTCTCCTCAGTCCCTGTCTTTCCCCACTGCAACAAATAATTGAAAGGCAGAGGCACAATAGTGAAGCAGAGTGAAAGTTTTATTTGAATACACTCCAACGGAGAAGAGGGCCAGAGTCAAGGTAGACAAAGGCCTTGATACGTTAGGTGGGAGGCCTATATACTGCATTCTGGGTAGGAGGCACCTCTGATTGACAAGGTGGAATTATTTGAAGGTCCACTGTGTAGAGCCATCCATCTCAGTGCTCATATCCTTTCTTATGATGAGGTGTGTTTTGGGCAGTTCTTAGTTATGTTCCATTGTGCCACATTGGGATCAGGTTGGGACCTGTTTAGCCCAGTCCTAATAGGAAAGAAGTTATCTCCCTGTAAAGTCATTGTTGTCTTCATGTGGGACCCCGTACCTGGGCAGTTTGGGTTGCTTTCCCTTCCCCTGGCTGCTCACGTCTATCTTTCTATCTAATAGTAGGATGATTCCCACTCTTAAAGGTCAGTACAAATTTTAATTATGTTTTCTGGTTCTATTCTCTTCCAGTTTCTGACCTCTGCATGGCAGGTACCATCTTGTTGCTACAGAAGAATGGTTCTAGATGTGGAATCTCTTCCCTGGGTCCAGATAAATAGTTTCATATTTCTCATTACTTGGGTGTAGAAATATATGTCCAAATTAGGTTTGATTTTTTGATCAGGGAGACACTTCACTAGAGCCTGATGATAAAATATTATATGTCATACTATATATGGCCTCACCCTTCAAATGAGACTCTGCATCTCATCTGAACCCCCTGTGTTGGGAAGGTTGCTGACATTATAATAATTCATCAAAACCGTAGTATATAGACAAAAACACAATACTCAAGAAGTAGTACCACCATTTTCTCATGTTTTCAATATAAAATGTATAATTACTTGGTAATATAACTTTTGGGCTATTTATCTGACATACAGCAGTTCCTTTTGGAATGTTTTGTAAAATCAGTAGACTTGGTAATGGTGAAATATAAAAAATCTGAAAAAAATCCTGATTAATTTTTATCACAGTTAAAAAAATCATAGTAGATTGATTTCCTATCTTCCGTTGAGGTTCAATATAAATTCAGATTGCAGTTTGAAATGTAAGATAACAGAGACCTGTAGTAATGACTTTAAAAGAATCAAAATTTGAGGAGGTCTTCTCTTTTCACATGACTTTACTTTCTATGTAACTTGTTAATATTTTTACAAAATCGTTAAATTCTTTCGTAGAGCCACAGTTTTTAAACATAGGAATTGCAGTCTTATTAAAACAGTAATCATGTAGTGAATTGGCTACCTAGGAATATAATTTGACTCATTTTTAAAAGGAAGACCTCTGTGTATTCTTATAAGCTGAATGAAGATGAATAAGATGCATTCTAGGCTCAATTAATAGTGATAGTGAACAACTGACATGTGCACACAATGTGAAAGGGTCTGTTGGCAAATCAATAACTTAACAAAAAATTTGATCAATCAAAGCCAACCATTATTATTACAAATCAAGTTTTAAATGATTGCACTATGACAGTTTATTTAAACTAATATGATGAAATTTGGTCTGAATTAACTAGCTATTAGCCAGTTGATAATTTCCTGATTTTAGATAATTCAGAACTGTGGCATGGAGGTCCATGGAAGATTCCTCCTCGTGCCTTCTCTGCAGTAAATGTTGTTGACAGCTAATCTGTGTGCAAAACCAAGCTGTTGCCAATAAGCATACATAAACATCTGTGGAAATCACCAAAATGAAATTCATGAAATTAAGCAAGCCTGGATGGGGGGTTTACTCTTCCTGTACAGTATGAGTACCAGCATTTTCAGAGGTACAAATTCTCCAGAGGCCCGTCTCATACACTGTTTATTCTTGCCGTGCAGCTTTGGAGTTTCCTTTGTATCTGATCTCTGTTTTAAAACTGAGTTTGGCATTCTCTGAGTGTGTTCTAAGGACAGTACATTTTAGTTTGAGTTCAGAGTTAACACTGACAGCTGTAATTGTCATCTTCTTATTCTCTTTGATAGAGCTGTTTTCAGTCAGGAGCCTCAAGTTTCTCAGTTTGGGTTTAAAAACTATTTTCATATTAATGTGTAATATTTACAAAATAGGTATTAATTATAAAGTGCTTCTTTTAATTCTTTCTATTTTTTTTTCTTCCCAATTTAGTATAATATAAAAGGAGGCTGTAGTCTACAAAACCGGGAGAAACGTTTTCAGAAGCTTCTCTCAGATAGTCCAGGACCAGCAAGCTACAGTCTTATGCTGGAATGTTAGATACCATAAACAGAAAAGTGCTAGAGGCTAAAGAGCATCTTCAGTCAGTAAGTCGCTATCTTAAATTATGCTTCTACTGATGTTACTGAAAGTAAAATAGAAAAGGGTTAATGTTTTATGTGATATATATATTTAAAAAGTTTTTTTTTAAAGTTTGTTTTTGCCTGGCAGATACTATGATAGGCTCACACAGGTAGCCATTTTAAACTGCTGATTGTTGATGTTGACTATAAGAATGAATACCTGTTTTTAAAATCAGTAGTACTTGCTTAATTAAGGAAGATAAATTACTGAGCCAAGTGTGAAAGACTCCTTGCCTCTTAAGGTGGCTTTAATCGTAATGGTGTATATTACCTGGCTTAGTGATAAGGTGAGACTTGAATTCATTCCTTTAAATACTTTTATAGGACAAGTATTTATGGCTTATGTTATGAAACTCATTAAGTCAATATTTAATAGTTGCCTTTTAGTAAATTTTAGTGTTGGTACTTCATTCCTTCTCTTGCCTTTGAGTAATATAAAATGTTTTTTTACAGAAAGTTTCAAGGGTACCTACTGTTTCCAGAAGTATTGATATTCCTTCAATTCCTTGTGGACAGTCATATGGTTATCATATTAATGAGGATGGCAGTATTCTAAAACATTTTCCACCTGCTAGTGATAACATACTAGGCCCAGCATATTATAAACCTCAATTTGTAAGTATAATGCATTTTCTATTGAAAGTTGGGAGATTGTTTACAATTATGCATATCTTAGTTAATGTAATATTAACTGCAGTAACAAATAGATCCCCAAATCTCAGTGTTTTAATACAATAAAAATTCTTTTTCCCTCATCCATATGGGCATTCCCTGTTGATAAGAGACTGTCCTCCATGAAGAGATTCAAAGATAGAGGTTATGTCATTCATATTACTATTATCTCCAAGGGCCTTGGTGTCATCTGTATCCAGCTGGCAGAAGGGGAGTGGGATAGAGGACTGCTAGTGGGAGGTTTGTGTAGGCCAGATCTGGGAATTAAAGCTCAGTCACATGGACACACTTAACTGCCAAGGAGGCTGGGAAATACAGTCTAAATGTGTTTAAGAAGAAGAGGAAACAGGTAGAACTTACTAAAATCTCTGCTACAATGACTTATCACATGCAATACATAGATCTTCTTTTCCTCAGTTTGAAAGGGAAAAGAGCATTTTATTTATAAAAGTTTATCAATTATTTACATAATTTGATAATGTAAGCATTATATATTTAACACAGATTTAATTCAATTTTGAGTTTGTGTTTATTTTCTCATGATTAGAGTAAATTTTATATTTTGGCAGGAATACTATAGAAGTGATGTATCTTTCTCAATGCATCACATAAAAAGGCATAGGATATCTATTTATCCTGTGATTGGTGATGTTAATTAACTTGTAGTGTTTTACAGTTTTATCTAGTATAAAGTTTTTATTTTTAAAATTTATAAATATTTTATGAGAGTTACTTTAAGAATAAGTAGATATCTTTAAAATATATAGAATAAGAATATTCTTACATTAAGAATAAGTAGATACCCTCTTCTTTATCAAACTCTTGTAGATATCCTATTCTTAATCAAACTCTTATCTTCTAGTTTAGTATCCATTGATGATACCTGATTCAGTTTTTCTGTGATGTTTATCAAATAGTGGTTTTCTTCACTTCATCTTTTCCTTAACATTTATTTGTTGGCACTTTAGTATAAAGAAAAGCTTTATCTTCTTTCTCACTTATGTATTTATGTCAGTATGGATTCATGAATTACCATTTTACTCAAAGGGTTATAATTTATTACTCTAATTTATTTTGAGTTTTAAATTACCTCATATTTGATGCTTGGGAGCCCTTTCAAGCTGCTGCTTGTGTCTTTTTGATATACCCCATCATACTTAGAGCATTTCCTTACCTTCTGTCACAGTAAGATGTTCCAGGTTCACCTCATTATTTTCCCCAGCCCCAGCCTTGGAATTAACTGTTTCTTCTAGGAACTCTATTTCCATTTTCTGGAGAATAGAATTTCAAAACGAAATCAGTACACTAAATGCACACATTTCTACTGAGTTGTTATTGCTCCTAGGCCATCTCAGTTGACAGAGTTAGAAAACTATATGTATTTCTTTCTATCTGTCTATTAAAAACTTTGAGTTTATACTGACACCTCCAATTTGAATCTAACATTGATTGAATGGTTATTCTAGTCTTACTTTTCCATATTTGGACTCCCTTTTCCCACAGTGAGAAATGTGGCTCCTATTATCTTCTATCATTGTTTATTTGCATAACCCTATGAAACACTGAAAGTAGTTTCAGAATTGCTCATCTTCATTGCAAAAAACAGACTTAAGAGGGTACAAAGCTCTTACCTCTAGGTAACCTTGAGGCTCTACACAGTGGGAAGTGGCTAAGGCAGACTCATAAACTGCCTGTTGGAGCATTAAAGGTGTGTCCCAACACATGCATAGAGCACCTCTGCAAAGGTGGGAGACTTATGGATTCAAGCATATAAGGAAACCTCTGTCCAAACCATTAGTTGACTGCCCAGCTAACCAGGCTGAGACTTAAATGGAAACACATGCCAAACAATAAAAATTTAGGGGAATTAATCCAGGAAAATCACTAAACAAACAACAACAAATCCTTGGGGGTGGAGGAAGATTCTGATTTTCTGAGTGGCCACTTTATGTTATCTAAAATGTCCAGTTTTTGACAATATGAGACATGCAAAGAAAAAAAATTGGTTCATACATAGGAAAAGAAGCAATCAAGAGAAACTGTTCTTGAGGAGGTCAGAATGTTGGATATTTTAGACAAAGTCTTTAAATCAGCTATTTTAAATATATTCAAAGAAGTAAAGGAAGCTATGTCTGAAGAACTAAAGGAAAATATAAGAACAATATCTTGCCAAATAGACAATATCAATAAGGAGATAGAAATTATAGAAAAAAACCAAGTAGGAATTCTGGAATTGAACAATATAGTCATGGAAATGAAAAATGCACTGGAGGAACCAATAATAGATTTGAACTGGAATAAAAGAGAATTAGCAAATCTGAAGACAAGTCAATAGATACTACACAGTCTGATGAACAGAAAGAAAAAAGAATGAAGAAAAATAAACATAGCTTCAGAAACTTGTGGAATACCAGATATATTATTGCACAATGGGACTCCTAGGAGGAGAGAAGAAACAGGAAGGAGCAGAGAGAATATTTGAGAAAATAATAGCTGAAAGCATACCAAATTTGATGACAAACATTAATTTACGTATTATAGGAAGCTCAATGAATTCCAAGCAGGAGATCCAAGAGGTGGAAACGTTGATACATCACAAACTGTTGCTAGCCAAAGGCAAAGAGAAATCCTAAAGCATAGAGAAGTGACAAGGAATCCCAGTAAGTTTAACATTTGACTTAACTGAAACCATGGAGGCCAGCAGGCAATGGGATGATATATTCAACATGTTGAGAAAAAAGACTGCCAATCAAGAATTCTATAATAAGCAAAACTACAATAATGAAGGCAAAATTAAGACATTCTCAAATAAACTGATAGAATTTATTTCTAGTCACCCTTCAAAAGAAATATTGCCTGAAGAGATCCTTCAGGCTGAAATGAAAGGTCATTAGATAATAACTCAAATCTACACAAATTAAACAACAATGGTAAAGGTAAATATATGTCAGTATTATTTTTGGTTTGTAACTCTCCTTTTTGATTTCTGTTGATTATGAACAAACTAGAAATGATGCTTTTTTTTTTGTATTCAAATACAGATGGCATAAAACTTATAAAGAACCAGGTTACCTCTGGTACAATGGAGAGTTAAGGATATTATAAGTTGTAGATATGTTTCCTGTTCTTACCCTGAGAATCCCCATTTCTTTCTGGCTATGGGGTCTTTTGTCCCGAGTATTTTGCCCTCCCTTTCTATGCTGTATATGGCTTTCTGGGCCTTGATTTTCCCATCATCCTGTTAGTAATATCAAAATAATTAATCTTCATCTACAGACAGTGCCAGTATTTTAGATATTATTTAAGTAAGATATGCTTAGAACAATGGAGATAAATTCTGTAAAAACTACAGTGAAATTAGTGGAAGTCCTATGGTCTAATGTTTGTATATTCAGTCCAATGAAAGGAGAGGTTATAAGAGGTAGTGTAATGGAGTCAGACTGCCTGGGATTGTTTCTTGGCTACACCACTTACTAGTTATTTGTCCTTGGCCAAGTTACTTAAACACTTGGTGCAAAATTTCCTTATCCACAATATCCTGGTAAAAAACTTTGGTCTTATATATTGGAACTAGTATTTCTTTTTCACAATAGTCATAGATCTTTGGCCTTAGCTAAACAAATTCTTTGATTACTCTTAAATCTCATATTCTTTGTTTAAGATTATTTATTTTATATATGCTGTTTATTTGCTTTGGAATAATGTATCATCCATTAGAAAGCCAGAATAATGACTCCAAGCTTCCTTAGATGTACAAAACTTTTTTCACATATGAATAAACATTACTTCTACATACAAACTTTTATTTATTTCTGGCTAAATTATTATTTATGGAAGACAAAAATAGGAAAATTTATTCTACAATTTCAATAGGTCCAATTTATCTGATGACATTTTAATAATTACTGAGTCAGTCCAACTTGTATGTATTAGGATAAAAATCTAGTTCTAATTTAAGAAACCATGTTATGTAAAAACAGATTTACATATAAATTAAATACAGTTGTTAATATTTAAGAAGATTCAGCAAAATTTAATTTTAATTGAAATGTGATATTTTCTGAAATCTCCATCTTGAATTTGAGAGAACTAGAGATAGGAGAGCAAAGCTCAGTAGCTGAAGGCTTTATTTTCTTGTTTTTCCTGAAGAAAAAAAAAAAAACAGGTTCCTCACAGACTACTGTGAAATTGATACTGTGGTAGTTTTAATTCAGATTTTATCCAAATTTATGATAGTTATGTTTCTCTTTAGCTACTTTTTGAGATAATACTATATGAACGCTCAGTTTCTAAATGTGAATATTAATAGAAAATTAAGAAAATAATCTAATAGATGTATAATTATTATGGTTCTTCCTTGAACTGGTGAATTATATCTGCTGAAGTTATCTTACATAGCTTAAAAATAGAAGCAACTCTGAAATTTAGTTTAAGATAAGAGGTATTTAATTTGTAAAGAGAAATTCTATATAAAATTATTTTGTATGGCATTTGAATTATAAAATTTTACATCTCTTTTTTAAAAAGAGAGTCCAGGTAATCATTAGAAATATTGAAATACTTTTCAAAGGTGGGTTTCATAAAGTTTGTGGTTGGAGTTTGTGACACTGATGAATTTGCTAATGATAACATACTGGGAGCCGCCACGCTGGAAAACAGTCTATTAGTGTTTGAACTGACACATTTTGGGACTTTAATTCTTCACCAATTCTGTCTCCATAGTTACAGAAAAGACATGGGGGCAAAGTTGCATAGCTCCTTCTTCATTTCATTGTCAGTAGGAGTGGCAGTTATAATTCTTCTTCAAGTTACATTACAGCATTACTTAACATAATACAGCTGCATGCTGAGTTTGCTTCAGTTAAGTCATATTTTATTTGCTAATGATTTTCAATGTTGACAATGACCTTGAAGTTGGTATTGTCAAACTATTTGACATAAAG